CAAACATCCAATGAAAAGTCGACAAATCATCATTCTGTTGTAACGCTACATGGGAAGCTAGATTTAAATTAACATAAATATGTATGTTTTATCATAGTAAAGTACTGTAATATCTACATGCAGAGCAGTAATTAACTGTTAAATTATATTACTATTATAAACAACTCTGTACAACAATAGTATTGTTGCGTCAGCGAGGTCACGTGACTAGTATCACGCCACCTCTTTCTAGAAATATCCTGTTCCTTCAAGAATGCATTTGTTATAAAGATATAGTAGGCCTAATACCCACGTTTCATAATTAACGACCTAATGTCCTTCGATGGCACAGTTTACCGAGAGGCGACGCCAGCCTCTTTCCTATAGAGGGGGGGGGGGGGGAATAAGAGGTGTGCTCAATACTATCAGTTAAAGCTACAGTTCTCACCTTCCCGATCTACGTATTTAAACTTGGCAGAATTGTTTTTTTTTTGTTATAATTATTTTTCTTCCTTCACAACTACTTGTATGAAATTGAAAAGGTTGAATAACAATAAAAAGGATAAACTCATCGTAAAGCAAACTCCAGTACTGTTGTCGAAAAATTTCGGTCTGTCCTCAAACCCACAAATTGATAAAGTTTCAGATACACTTAAAGTTACCCATTTCCTTACAACAATAATATTAAAAGTAATATTTCACTAACTGTGACAATAAACGAGATTTCACAAACCTGATTTTCTGTAGGCAAGAAATCTGCTTTTCCAGAAATTTCTTTATCAAGATTGTTTTTAGGACTTGAAAAAAATATAGATGGCATAATAACCTCTATAAAAAAAAATTAAAAACTGACAAAAATGATACCAGCTAATCCAATCGTTGACTAAATTTTCAATCCAACAATGAAATCGACTCACGAGACCGCTGATTATAAGCGTATTTATGCTCGTGAATCACGCGGACTAGTTTTTTTTCGTCACTTAATTTCTAATAAAGTAGAATGTTAGCACTTGATTTCACTTCAAAAAATCATATGCATTATTATTGAAAACGTCAGAATTATCAGAACATTGGAATTTGAAATAAAGATAACACTTTATGCTTCATTTAAGGCCGTACATTTTGTTGTTAGCAGGTTGTTTAGTGTCATATTTTGTATCGATACTTCCATACATCCCTACAGTAGTATCTATTGCACGTGTTTGTTATTTATTCCTAGTGGTTGCGAAGTAACAAGACACTTATTCCCCCTGTGATAACTACTTTATTTGGCTTGATGAATAAATTTTGGTAATAAACTTTTTTTTTTAAACTGTTAATTATTATCTACGCCTGCAGTAATGTTTTCTCACTTTTCTGCTCAAATATTGTTTGTCATGAGTTTTTGCTAGAGTCATTGTGGGACAACATGGATTTCAGAAAAAAACAAGAACCTTAAAAACAAATAATATTTGTATGATGCATGACTGTGCGATTTTCTATCTAATTGCAAAACGATACCTAAACGATGTAAGTTATTTATGGGAAAGCACCCCAGAAGAATGGAGCATGCTAACATGATATTTCAGTAGTGCATACAAGTAGGTATATGGTAGCAAATGACTGAAAAAGCTAATATACTGTTACGTCTCCGTTCGTTAGTTAATTTTCCGTAAATTCGTTCCGACGAAACTTTAGCGACACAAGTCCTTTCTTAAATAAAACTGGTTATTCTTTCCGAATACAACTTTACGATACACTTAATTTCAACAGTCGCTCTATAACAAACGCTATAATTCTCAAAGAACGTCTCACGTACTCGTGCTCGACAATACTCCGTTCAATTACACACTCTCTGACTGCAGTTCAATTACTCATCATCCTGTTGTCCCGTCACATTGTGAACGTCTTATATATACAAGACTAACAGATATCTAGTAAATGCTAGCAATAACCTTTTGATAAACTTCATTTAATCCATCGATCACTGGTTTTACTATGTAGGGTACAGTCTGCCTCAGGAGTTGAATGCAAGTGTGCCATAAACAGTGTAGGACTTGCAAAACTTCCATGCTGATTTTGAGCAGTCGCGTTCAACGGGTTAAATTAAGTAAAAGGAGTAACAAACTACACATTGTTCAGCACACAGACTTTTTTGTAGTGCTAATGATGTAGCAATATTTTGAGGACTTTTTAAATCTAATCTTATTTGTGTTTTTAGAAACTTAGAAGGAATATTGGATTCAGGTAAAAGTTACCTTTAGTGAAAAATCGGCAACTTGAAACTGTGAGACAATAAAGAATGGTGTGTTTTAAGAGCTTAATTTTACTTCCTTCCCATTTAAAGCTCGAAATTTCCCTTCTGAAAGTTGATGGGGGAAATCAACCACCTATACACAAATGAAAGGATAAAGACAATCTATAAGCACTTTCGTAATACATGCTTTACTGTGTATTGTGGTCTGAGCTAAGTTAGGATTTCAGTATAGACTTGATTTTCAAAAGTAATGTAATGTTTGAACTTTGAGCACAGAGATTAATGTACAGTGTGTCACAGTCAAGACGTGATAATTTTATCAATTTTTGCAAAGATGATAGTGTTTAGGATCTGAGGTTTGATCAGTATGATAATATTGCAGGAAAAAAATCATCATTGTTTTTATTAATTGAGTATTTTTGATCAAAAAGACACCCTAAAATCACATGTTATATATCAATAAATGGTAAGTGTTGCTAGATTTATCAGTTTGTAACCTTGGTCTCCATTCACTATTTAGCCTTGTAGTTTAACACAATATCACATATAACAATAACTCGACTTTCTTATCATATGCATTCATGCTATAAATTTTGAACATTAAAATGGCATAGCTCTGTTAGTTCGTGAGTACTAATAATCACAGTATATAATTTTTTTTATTACTGTTCAGAAAAATTGTAAGATTCATGATTTAAGTACGATTGTTCTTATGTTGCAAGTGATAAAAAATTTAGAAACCAACTTATCCAATTGGACTAGTGCTGGTGACATTTACTCGTCCCACTAGAAAGTTCACTGATCTCATTTTTAACCAGAAACAACTTTTAGATGGGGGAAGGAAGTTGCCCCCCCCCTATGTTTAATATCACTTGGTTATTTTATGTATTGTGCAGTATGAGTGGTTTTTCAATTTAGAGCAAATTTTCCCAAAATAATTATTGTTGTATTTTAAGATTTAAAAACCCAGAGAGCTACAGAACCTCTGCTAAAATTTATGTACTAAGTTTCTACCTTATTGCAATTTCAAATTAGAGTTCTACAGTTTGTTAGCCATGACATAGTGGCTCATAGAATTGCTCCAAGTTTTTTGGTTTTTTTTTTCAAGTTAAAAATTTTAGCTCATAGCTCTGTCATCTCTTGACTGATATGGGATCTAATTATAGTTTTGGACTCAGGAGGTCAAACTTTTGTTTGATGTATTTGACCATGCCCAAGGTCTTGTAGATTAATTTACTCTAATCCCGCCTGAAAGAATTTCAATTTGAGGGTAAGCTGGTAGAAAATGTGATGAGTAATTGGTATTGCTGGTGCCCAAAAATATAGCTAATAAAAAGGAAAAAAAAGGTTTCATATATTAAGTTACTCTGATCCTGCCTAAAAGAATTTCAAGTGCCACAGCTATTGAAGATTCCCTCTTGTTTTATTATATAGTTAAGCTGTTTATACCTTTCTGAATTTTTATTTATTGCATCTAACCCAATATTTTACAATGTATTATGATTTTATACACTAGATTAATTTGCAAAGGTAATATTGGATTACAACATCTTAGCTTTCTTATGATTCTATACATTTGATGTTGCATTTTTCTTCTTTTTTCTCAATTTTATTTCTAAATGCTAATGTTTTAAGGCTGAAGATTAGTCAATTCTATGAAACGTACTCTTTAAAGGTTATGTAATTTTAAACTATCTTACAAGTTTAAAGTGAGAATAAAATATAATTTTATGTGGAAAAAATCTGGAAGCTACTTAATGAATTAATGTACATGATGTCAGAAAAGCATTTACATTCAAGAAGTCTTGACATAAAAACCTGAGCCAGTAATGCAGGAATTTTATTCTCCATGTATAGTTAGACAGTTTAGTCTGCTATGTGCTCATTAACTGATCAAGTGATATGTCTACTTCCATCCCTGTCTTGTTTTTAAAGTTCAGTAGCCAGCATTACATAGCTTTTTCAGTTAGTGATAAATGTCTAACCACGGATGAGTGGCTCATAGAATGAATTATGTGGTGTTTTTTTTTTTTTCAAATACAAACTTTTAGCTCATAGCTCTGTCATCTCTTGACTGATTTGAGATGTAATTGCAGTTTTGTACTCAAGAGGTCAAACCCTTTTGATTGATGTACTTGACCACACCCAAGGTCTCATAGATTAATTTACTCTAATTCTGCCTATGAGGAAAATGAGGGAATCCTCAATTGCCAAAGTGTACATGGGTTATATCTACAGTGTACATAGGTTACTAGGTTATAGTGTGTATTCTCAAGCTGTATAAACTTTGCATAGGATAGTAATAACAGGTAGTCAAAAATCGTGAAGACTGTTTTGCTCTATCAAATGATGATAAACTAAGTAGGCACTAGACCTGTTGAAAAGATGATGGAAAGAGATAAGAAATCTCTGGTTTTGGTTGTTTACCGGTTTTCAACTTTGGGATGCTCTGGATAGCGTAAAAGCAGTGTATACACCAGAAATAATGACTATGCCAGGCAGCTCTTCAAGTACAAAATATAGGTCATATGCACAGGTGGGAAAAGTGATAGTTATGGCAGTCATTCATATTTTCATATAGTTGAATAGCAGCATGTACAGATTGAAATTTTTCACATCTTTTTAATGTTCTGGCTAAATTATTTCTTATTTTTTATATATACTTCTAGTGATCCACCGTCATTACCACCCAAAACTTTGTTTGTGGACCGATTTTGTCCTTCATTCATAGAAGAAAGACGAAGTGGCCTAGAAAAGTTTTTAGACAAGTACAATTCTTTTTTATGTCTTATATATAGAATTCTTTATGGTATTTGTAAGCTTGACTTTCTCCTTACCAGTGCTTTATGTAGTTATCTAACTCATGCCATGTTTTGAACACCTCGTAATTTTCTAATTCTGTGCTTAACGTCTCTTTAGGTGGGATAAAAACAAATTTGATATCAATTTTACTTTTTTACTCACATTAAATCATTAATGCAGATTTGTAGTATAGTACAGACATTGTTTTCTATGCCATTATAACAGTTGAAATGCAAAATGCACCTGCATTGTTTGTCGTTTAAACAAAGTATTGAAGAATTAGGCTAATTAATTCCGAAGAAAAGTTTTGGAGTTAAAAAATTTTTTTTTCATACCATAAAACTTTATAGTATGTTCATGTGACTTTTTATTTATTCAAGGGTCCTTACGATTCCAATTTATTTGTCCAATAAGTGTATACACCTGTTCTTGCAAAGTACACTGACCATGAAAGATATTGAAATTTTAGTCAGTGACAGAGCTATCAAGTTGTCTAAAGAAAACTTGTCTGAAGCAGACTCAGTAAAAGCTTCTGTTAAAAGTCTTGATGATACATGGTAAGAACCAATATTTATTTTTTTGTGTAATAATAAACCATACCAGATTTTAATAAAACTAAGCTGCAAATAAGAATATTTCTGTCTCATAGAAACCTTTTAATACAAGTGGAAAATATAAATTATGTGAATATTCACACATTTGACAGAAAAATAGGTGTTTTTGATACTGTAATGTTTTAAAGTTAAAATAAAAACAAGGCATTTATATAATCTCCCTTGATTTGTATCTCTCATCAGACACAATCACGGGACATTCTTTTGTGGTGGTTGCTGTTGGCTAGGCAACTAGCAATAGATAGCCATTGTGTAGTTTGTGTGAATTTACAAAACAAACAATTTCATCTTATTTATTTCCATATTAACAACCAATCTCTGAGTTATTCAGACAAATTGTGTAATTTCTGGTAACTAAAGTAGGGTCCTCACGAAATCTTAAAAACTTGGAATAAAATTTAAAGGTCTCTAGGGCATGATCTGAGGAGTCTTTTGATGATGTTTTTATGAATATAGTGGCCATAGGGATGTTTTATCTCCCAAATGTTAACCACTCTCAAAGCTCTGGTCATGATGGACCTTTTCTTCAAATGCTTCTATTAGCATGTTCGGTTAGTAGAGAGACATGCTTCTCTTTGGCCATTTCGCATTTTTATTATTACTGATGGGAATTCTTCTCTGTCCTCTTTTAAGGCTTGCTTTCATGTAACTGGTATCCTGTCATGATTGCTTCCACATCTGCTGCATTAGTAGCATGTGTAGCATTTTTCTACCTTGCACTTACAAATATGCTTTGAATCTGATGCTTCTGACAGCTGTTGTCTGAAATTATTTCATTGTGACAGAAAATATGCTGGTTGTCCTTTCAATTTCCTTTTATTACTGGGCTCACAAGTTTAGTAGAAAATTTCTCTATCTGCTAAATATTTTTTTTTTATTTTCATTTGTAATGAACACCATTCAGTTCCTCATATAACAGTGCATATTCCATAAAATTTACAAGAGTTGAGGAAATACAGGATATGTGCCTTCTACAATTCAAGTGTTTATATCTGCAAAAACTTGAAATGCTTGTGAAACTTTTTTTTTCACATTATGCTATCTTAGCAGAACTTGTAAATAGAGAGTAACAAATAACCATGTCTGTGGTAGAAGTTATCCAAGTATTTTAAACTTTACTACACTAAAAGCTATGAAATGTGAGAAACATTTATTCTAAACCCCACTCAATAATGAATCCAGTCTGCAGCAGAAGTTACATTTTTATTCTCTTGTCAATAAAAATAACTGTTTATAGTGAGTTTGTATGTGTGAAATGTTTCAAATCAGTTAAAATAAATGGTATTTTACCTAGAAATCTTTCAGAACAAAGCCAAGAAAATTGATATTCCTAGTCCCTAGATACTTTTGGAATTTTATAAAGAATCATAAGATGAACTTGATTTCTTTAGATTCCAATACTTATTTTACTGTTTCTTAAACACAGTGTTATGGAATTGATTTTTTGTGGTTTGTGTTTATGCAAGTACACAAAACTAGGTTATTTAATCAAAATCTCTGTGATAAATTGGTTATTAAATTAGCCATTCTGAGGCAATAACTCTTTCTGCACACAAAATAACTATCTTCTTCACATGTCTGCCTAAAAGATTTGCATGACACTGGCCTTGAGTCAACTCCCACCTAATTTCAAATATTTTAAAACTAATTGCACTTGCACACGATGATGTCATCTTGTGACAAAAATCACCAATAGAAGGGCAACACTACGTCCATCCACCGTAACTCCCCCTATGTCCTTGCATTCCTAATAACTTTGTTATTCTCTTCAGCATTGAATTAAACATGTTTAAATTTATTTCATCTTCAGTTTCCCAAGATTTGCACTAGGTAACAAAATTTTGGTGTTTGCTACACTTTAAACTTTGTTATTATTGCTTCACTTTGTTACTATGAGTTCACAAGTTAATGTGACTTCTACATACTCCTGTGTGAGTGAAGAAGTTTCACACACAGGACATATTTCAACTATAGCTTCAAGAGGATTCTTGTCTGAATTAAGACATCACAGCCATTGCCTATTGCCTCACTAAAGAATGAAGTTATCATGAAAGCGAGTGCATAGGGGAAGTTACTACACATAGATGTCGTGTCATCTTCCTATTGGTAGAGGGCTTTTGTCACATGAAGACGTCATCCGTCGGTGCAGTTTATGTTAAAGCACATTAAATTAAATTACTGTTGCCTCAAGACTAGTGGCATGCAAATCTTTTAGGCAGAACCATGAGGTAGATAACTTTTATGGGCAGAGATGTGTATCCATCGGAAATATATTTTCAGGTAAGGAAAATGTAATCTAAAATTTACAATAAAACTGAGAAGTTTATGTAATTATCTTTGATTATGTTTGTTGCAAATTTTGTACGAATTTTGTTTTTTAAACTGAGAATCATTTCATACACAATTTTAATAATTGGAATCTTCTATAGTCTATGATAATGTGTGTCTTGCAACAACTTGCTGTCTGTTTTGAACATTTTTGTGCATGTGTCAGACTATTTTTGACAACAACCCACTCACTTTTTAATTTAATTAGCTACATCTTTTATCATTTGGTCTAGTTCTATGTTTAAATGTAGTTCAACTTAGTTTATTCTTTACTTAGAATTATTTTAGAAGTTATGTTTTAGCTTGTGTTATTGTATCATTTGATTTTTTTAATATTTCAAAATATGCTTTTTTTTTTATTTAATTGCACTAATTCTATTTTTCTTTTTTCCTTAGCTTGTCTGATTACTCGTCAGAATGCACAGAACCTGACTATTCAGAATATGATGTAGTGGACTTCTCATCTCCATTAGGGTCTCCACTCTGTATTCGAGAGGAATGTAATCAGACATCAGTAACACACAGCCATGTAACACTTGGATCACGTATAACCATCTGTACCCCTTCTCTTGTTGTTCCAGATTCTTCAGACTCAGACTATGATTTCTTTCCATCACAACAAGCTTGTAGTGTTCCTGATATTTCTATTAATAGATTTTTACTTCCTGGAATGATGAGACCATTGCATTCAAACATGAGTGAGCCATGCCTAACTGAGACAGCTGTTAAATTTCCTACTACAAGCTGTTTAAGCTCTCGTTCATTAAGCCGTAGTTTACCTAAGAAAAGAGTTTCTTTTTCTGACAATGTGACAATAGCAACAGTATAAAAATTCTTGACATAGAGCTGTTCAAGATGTAGTAAATAATTTCATATGATATATCTTTCTTAAACTTAGTAATTTTCTTTTATATCTTGGTAATTAACATCTAGTAAAGCCTTTTATGATAATGAAAAAATGAGGAAAAACTCAATTTTATTATTTAAATTAGAATTATAGTACTCTAAATTTTTCAATCTTATTGTAAAGAATACCACAGCAGCAAGAAGAAGTGTACAGTTGTTTATGTATATTTTATTCTTTTTGTATGCTGAAATGTTTCATAAAATGTAAAAAAATTTTTCTTATTTAAAATTTTTTTTTCTTTTCTCAGTTTTTATGAATATTCTTCATATTATGTTATATCATTAAGTCAGTATTTGTAATGTTTGTGTATATTTTATTTTTGTATTAAGCACTATTGTATTAACATTACATCTACTTAACTTTGGGAATGTACTGCACTGTTGTTTTACTGTAACTCATCTTAGCTTTATAAGTTATATTTCCTTAAGCCTTAAAGACTTAAGGTTCCAAAGTTAATTATTTTATGTTGACAGAAAGCCAACATGATATAAGATATGTATATAATGCGTAAACCTTTGGATATTATGTCACATGTATCAGTTAAGTTTCTAAAAAGATATTTGTAATGTATAAGTTTAATATTGTTAAAATTGGATGATCATACTTAGCACACACAAACATATTTTGGGGATCAATGTATAATGTTTCAGAGAATAAAAATCAAATGTTTATGAATGTTTCAATATTTCATAGAGAAAAAGTCCATTAGTATTAGGATGAAAAGTGATGATCATATGGTGAAGGTAAGATAATGTATTTTTAAAGCTATATAGAAAGCACATTTTAGTAAAAAAAAATTGTAATTTCAACAGTTGCCATGATACAGATAGTAATACAGCAATTGACAACTCATAATGTCTTTCCTAGTATCTGTTCCTATCTTTAATGAACAGATATTTTAGAAGTACTGCTTGCTTGTGTTTTTCTAATGTAGGCATATAAATGGTAACATTGTTCTTGTGTAGTGTAAGGCTTAAAATGTTAACAGGGTAGCTGTGATTCACTGTGTTAAGGTTTACTTTCAAAGGAAAATAAGTAAAGCACTTAACTTACTCAGATATTCATTGAGACTTGTTTCACAATCAAAGAAGACTTCAAACTGAGACAGAAATATAACTGTTTTTAAATTATTTGAAAGATACAGTAATTGAAAAATTGTGATGATCATAGCTTTTTGGTAATGTTCTCACTGCATCATTCTTTTTTTCTTTCTTTTTTTAAGCATAGGTTATGAGTGTAGGCTGTAATGACAGAATGGTCTGTTTCTGCTAGTAGAATGGATCATCATAAAGTAATCCTTAAAGTGTTAACAAATATAAGTTTTTAACCAAGCTTCTGAAAGAAAAATGGAAAATAAAATTGTCTTTTTTTTGGTTCTATTAGGCAGGTTATTTGATTTACTGTAATTGTCTTAACATATGATCAGCTAGTTAGTTGTAGCATTTTATGAAGGAATGAAACTGCTTCCTTTTCAATATGTATCAAAATGAAAATAATGTTTACTTAGAAAGTAATATTTAAAACAAAAATGTATAGATAAAACTGAACAGGAATAACTTGACTACTAACATAAAATATGGTGAATAATAAAAATATAGAATTTTTTTGTTGCATAGCAAGACTTGCATTTGATGTTGATTTGGTTAAAATTATTATCATTAAATGAATGTATATAATTTATGAATAGTCTAAATTAAAAAGGAAAAGAAACCTAGTATCTCTGGTACATAAAATGAGTAATATGTTAACTTGAAAGTATTTTTGTGTTCAAAGTATTTATTCTGGAATGTAATTTCTTTGGAAAATTGGTTAATGCTAATGTTTTAATTTTATGGAAAGATCTCAAGAGTACAACAAATAATTTATAATATTTCTCCTGACAACTGTTTTGAATGCAGAAAAAATTTAAGATGTTTGTTTTTGTATTCTTAGAATCACCAAGCATGATTAAAATTGTCTTGTAGTTTGCATCATTAGAACCGATTTGATTTAATCTGACATATTTAGAAGAAGGAACGGCTATATTGTAATGTTTGTATGTTTTTATTTAAAGTATGCATCTGTCTCTCTGTCTTCTTTTTTTGGATTAGTAAATAATTTTGATAATAGTGTATCTTAATGATATTTTGGTTTTATAGTAGAAAGAGAGAGAAAATCAAAACATTGATTATGAATTAACATGTTTTTCCTGTTAAAGAACAAATTGTTTCTGAGGCTGATTTTATTTCATTTATGCAAGATATTTTTATACTGCTTTTACAGATCACATTTTCTTCACCTTTTAGCACATGACCTAATCTGTGTTATAGTTTGATAGAATTCCAGTTTCTAGATGATCAGTATGAAGAAGTGAAAGTATGAAAATAATGTAGTGAGATTAGCAAAAAGAAATGGAAAGGAAAAATCTAAACTAAGAAAAATTAAATATCAATTTTTGTAATAAACTGTCAAGAATTTTAAATGCAAAATTTAGTATTTTGTGTGACCAAGGTTTTTTCTTTTTTATATTTTTTTATTTTAGAAGTTAGCAGATGTTAAAACATTTATGTATCATTCCATAATATTATGTACTTATTAGGTCATTTCAGTCGGTTGTAATTAGAACATTTGGTTATTTATACTTGTTTGGCAACAACAAGATGACTTGTGGTTTGGTATTCCAAAAGTTTTCTCTAGGATTATGGGTAAGTCATGGATTTTTCAAAATCTTAATTTGATTTTGGTATTTCCTAATATTCAGCAAATTTTTAATTAATGCAGTTGTGACTGATATATTCACTGCTACCTGTCAATTATTAGTAGACAATTTTTTTTTAACTTGATAGAAGTGGCAAAAGATAGGTTTTTAACAAGCCCTTTTAAGGCATTTTTGTCAAAAGTATATCTTATACAGGGAAAAATTGGTTTGTAGTTCTCGATCACTTCATTAGATATTAATTTATTCACCAAAAAGAGTGTCTTTAGTAATTAGAAAACCTGGCAGATTTGTAATTTTATCTACAAATAGCCAAAGTCGCATTCTTCCACATTTAAATCTGGAAACTGATATTGTACCGACACCTGTTCTGGCTCTTCTTCTAGCTATTCTTTATTTGAGTTTAGTTTCGATAATATTGAATATTTTTATGCACTTAGCCTTCTGGTTTTTCTTGCTCAGTTATTTTAAATTAAAGTTAGCGACTGGTGTTTGTTTCTTATACATGTGTTCCTCTACACAGAACTGGCATACATTATTTATTATGGCTTAAGGTCTCAGAAATAATCAATTTCACTTATCTTTTATACATTACCAGTAAATAATTTCACATTGTTTTTTGCAGCCTGATTTGTCCTTAATTGGCTTGTGCCAGTTTGTTATATACACATAAGACTGATATATTACAATTGTCCAAACTGTGTTGTGCGTAAGCTGTGATACTTTGTATATGTATATTTATATGTACATGAGAATAACGCAAATAAAGATTATTAATTGTGAAACAAGCTGATGTATTTTTTAAATTAAAAGTGCATGGCATGTTTATTAAATAGCTTAAAGATAACATTAAAATTAACCTACTGAGACTTAATTGACCTAAGAATATTAATATTTTGAGGAAACAACAACTTATTTCGTGTAGAATATTAGGGAGTACTTAAAAACTTCAAATGGAGAAACATCAGTACTAAATGAAGTGCTTGTAGTATGGAGAAATATTTTACCTATTACGATACTAATATGTTTTAGAAACTATGTTTGATGTTGACCTATGAAGCCATGTCGATTGCTTAATGTTATTTTCGGTTGACCAAAGATTATGATCTATCGTTAGTATAGACAAAGTGGATGATCGCAAAGATTGTGATCTCCTATGGGCGAGGTCGTGTTGAATGGTGTCACATCCATACAGACGGCGCAGTTGTTAGGTCACTTTAAATTCACAATCAATGATGTCGCCGAATCAGTGGCTGCTACCTTAGACAATATGACACCTTCCTGTGAGTATGGCTATCTAGAATGAGCGATCTTAATGAGATGCAATCTTGGATGGGGGCTTCAACGTGAAAGTTTTAAACTTCCCTGTAACAAAAAGGATTCGTTTGACTGATGTACTTTGATAATTTTGTTGATTCTAAAGTCTTAAACCAAACAGAATGGCAAGAAAATCTAACAGGGTAGTTTCTTAGAGCTACACGTATAGCGGTAAGTCTACGGACTTGCAACGCTAAAATCAGCGGTTCGATTCTCTTCGGTGGACACAGCAGATAGCCCGATGTGGCTTTGCTGTAAAAAAAACGTAGTGTGTGTGTGTGTGTTTTATACATTATATTCTACGTATTTTTTTTATTACATATGTATATAATCATTCGGCAAAAAATGATCTAAGATATATCGAAACATATTTTACAAAAATTAAGAAAACTTCAAAAATGCACTCACATTTTGATATAACACATTTACTTCGTAATCAAACTTAATAAAAAGTTTACAGATTGATTCTTCAGCTCGAATATGACGAAGTCGTTGAAATGAACGCCAACGCAGAAGAAACCATGCTGATTAAGTTGAAATAACTGTTTAAAGTTTAGTGATGGTGACGATAGTGAATTTAAGAGTCCTATTTTTTGAACTTGTTAAACATTGGGAAGTTAATGTGTCAAATAAATGTTTACACCCAAATCATACAAAGAGCGATTAACGTCTTCAACCTCTTAGAATAAGTTTTAAAATCTGTTTAGAAAATAACATTAACAAATAATAAATGTGAAAATTCATGCAAGTTTTAAATTTAAACTGACTACTATCTACTCATTACTTAATTGAAGTTTTTGTATATATCATAATTATACGTATGTCAATACCTTTTGTTAATAACTATTTTACATCTTATTATATAATTCATACTGCCATCTGAATTCAGTCTCAGCATCTTATCGTACTGTAGCGAACTGACTAGGAGTATGTAGATGTGAATGAACAGCCACAGCATTCTGAAGCATATATTGTCGCCTCAATGTAAATGTGAATATGATAAACTTATCCTGGGCAGAATGCGATTTTACAGTATAGCGTTTTTTCGGTCAGTACGGTATGATTGTTCTGGAGATATTGTTTTTTCTGTTAACCTGCAAGCAGATATGAAGGATCATGTTTATTTGTCGTCTAAAAAGAGGGTTCATGCCTTCTGATCCACCCTTCCCCTTGATCAGTAATTTCAAAATAACAGTCCTTGGCCAGGAAGATTGACTCTCTTGATGCACAACAATCATGAATAAAAAAAAAATCTTTTAAACTCTGACTGAGAAAGCAACGTTATTTATATGTCTGATATCAGTCAGTGATTGGTGAGAAATTTATGTGTTAACCAACAAATGGCGTGTTATAAATGTGAACTTTGTGTGTATTGTCTCATAATTGGGTGACAACTGGTTTATACAGATCTGATACTAGCTTGAATCCCTAATCAGTTGTCGGCAATAAGGTCTGTTAGTTCATTAATTAGAAATATATTATTAGGTGAGAAGAAGGGAATTTATAGAGGTAAAGCTAGCTACCTTTAATAGCCATAGAAGGATAATCTCTGACTCATTAAATGTTCAAATCAAATAAGTGGGTGGGTAAAGCCCACCTCCGTGAACAATCTCTTTACATCATGTCCAAGATGACAGCACCAGGACGCTCATCCAAAATGGCTACACCGTTAGGAGGGCGCCATCTTATTCATAAATTGCTGTGCCACCACTAGAGGCTCATCCAAAATGGCTTCACATCTTGGGTCGAATGGATATGACACCACTCCAAGATTATCATGCCCAGAGAAGTCAACCAGAAGTGGCATACTCACTACGCCGTCTTAGGTTAACCAAAAATGGTATCAGGTGATCCCTGTAACGCCATGGAATAAACAAACGTAAGGTCACTTGGCCTTCGTGACACGAAGAAGTCAGGATCACAAGTCAAACAGACCTAGTCCTCATGCTGTATTACTTACGATATCTTATGTTCCATTAACCGTATAGTTGAGAGAAAACAATTTTCAAGATTTATGATGAACCCTGACTTGCAAATAATTTAGTAACATGATGTCTTAAAATAGCCCTGTTCTATTCTATCAAAACTACTCGAAAACAGTTGTTACACTATGGTTTCTTTCATTCTTAATAATGAACAAGTAATCGTGATTCGCTTTATAAAGTCTGGATAGAAAATTTAAAAATATCGCAGTCGTCACAATTGCAAAATATTCCTTTATCTGCAGATGTGAAACAATGAGCTCACCATATTTTTCATCTGGTATGGTGTGATCCTCTAGCAGCCCATATCTTTCTATATATATATATATATATATATATTATTTTATTACAAGTTACAGTAAGGAAGATTATTTTTTTAGAATATGTGGGACGTTTCGATCATTGGTGCGATCAATCTCAAGTACACAGGTTTTAACAATAAAGAAGGTTTTAGTATTCAAATCAACATTGAACAATATATTTAAATTTTAGAATTGATAGTGGTTATTTATGCATGTGCATATCAAACTGCGTGAATTGACAGATTATTTATTTATGGCTACAAAGAAAAAACAAACAAAAAGTGAATAAATATTTTAAAAATGTGGAATATGTTATGCGAAATATTTGCTTAAGATTAGGTATGTCTAGGGAAATAACGATCAAACTCATATAGAAACGTGCCAGTGTATTTATATATATATTTTTCATTTTGTTAATAAAGCTTCTCTGACTTTTCTTCTGTTAATGTTAGGTTCATGTTTTAGAAGTATCTGATAGAGGTATGCTGATATTTAATATTTTTACGTCTCTGTTCGTTTGTTAATTTCCGTAAAAATTGTTTTCGAAGAAACTTTAGCGATACAAGTCCTTTCTTAAATAAAACTAGTTTATTCTTTCTCAATACAATTATGCAATACATTTAATTTCCACAGTCACGCTATAACTTAAACAAATGCTATAATTCACAATGAACGATTCACGCGCTTGACTCAATTGTCCGTCTCTATCTCTGTCTGCAATTCAATTCCATTGTTGCCGTCACTTCTTGGCGGTCTTATATACAAGAATACCGCATATCTAGTAAACACTCGAGCATTCAAGAACCTTCGAGAATATCATATATCATGACGTGTTACTAGCGTCACATGACTTCCGCTGTTGTAACAGTATGGTGTGTCAATAACTAGTCCTAG